GAGGAGGAGGAGGAGGAGGAGGAGGGGAGGAGAAGGAGGAGGAGGAGGAGGAGTCTGAACCGTGGGAACACAGAAAAAGACGGTGGGAGCAGGGAAGGAGTTCTTTAAAATTTCCCCTCATATCCTTGTAAGAGATGTACCAACGCATCTGACCCAAGGAACCGAACCGTGCGTTGTCTTTGATTGTTGTATTTTTTGGCTTCGTTTCAGGCAGCCTCAAGCATTTTCTCAAAGCTTAACTTGCATCATGTAAGCTTATATGAGAACAGCATTTAACTGTGATTAACCTTCGTGAACGAGCCTTTTCCTCACACTTTACCTACGTAACCTCCCCAAATTTCCTCCTTTCAAAACCCTTAGTCCCCCCCCCCCCCTACCAAAACACACCATCGCCTCTCTTTTGTCGTCACTCCCTGTGGGCGTTTTTCACGCTCTTCTTCTTCTTCTTCTTGCCCCCCCTATGAATATGCAGAAGAACTATTTTACATCAATTTCAGGAGATTTGTTTTTGAAAGCAAGACAATATTTATAACAACACAGCAGTCGAATTTTGACGCAAAAAGCCAGTGCCCCACGATGACGCCTCAGTGACTAGGTTCACGGCTATATGTACCTGTTAACAACAACCGACCACTGGTCTTGATATCGTCGTCTCAGAACTACATAAGCAAAGAGGCACTTCGGACAAAATAGTTCTGAGACGACGATATGTCACAGACAAAAATCAAAAGTTAAGTGATTCTATGTGCCCACATTTCATTGGTCGATATCTATTCGTTCGGCAAGTAAGCAAGATCAGACTCGATGTTCAGAAAAGATGAATACAGGAAACACAACTCTGCAGGCTTCTCGAGCTGTACCCACTTGTAGCCATTGTTGCGGTGTGAATATTATTTGTTTTCTCTATACAGTCCTGACTGTCAACCGAAGATTGGTTCTATCAAAACTTTGGATCGCCAAACCGGACAGTGTATTGTACGCTTACGGAATGGCTTAATAAATGCCCAACTGTATATATGTATGAATAATTGGGCTGTAGACTCGGACCAAGCAAAAATAGTTACGCCTACTAATACATTTCCAAAGCATTACTATATGTGTAATGGTACAAGAAAACCTTCTACATCGGTGGTAATTTACATAGTGTGATGTGTGCATAATATTCTGATTCTAAACTTGTACCTGAGTCATTTGCACTTTGATTCATACCAGTATATCCAACTGTTCAAAGGCTTTGGCCATTTGAATGATGGTATGATAAGGAAACATATAATGGAGAAAACAGCATTTTCAGCTTAAAATGGTCACTTATTAGATTCAAGGTAGGATCAAGAAAACTTATAATAAACATGTTTATGCTTTGATTTCGCGGATTCTTTTAAACCACAAGAAGGATACCAAAACAAAATGAGCGCAAAAATCCCGATTTTTCCCACAGGACTCCTTGGGGGCTTAAATCGCTCATAATATCTCAGAAACATCTCCAGCAAAAAGGACGGGTTTTCATGTTTCGACATACATAATAGTTATTATTTCGGCCGCTTTTTTACGTATTATAGCGCTTCCCATATCAATGTTCTAATAATAGTGGGTCTTGTCTCAATTAAGTTAATTTTTCCAGCTCACCTGTTCTACAATTGTGAGGGTCGCAGTCTGGCCCTGTGTTGAACGTGCTCGTCTTGCCAGTATTGAACACCCAGTCCAGGTCGTCCAGTTTGTCCTGTTGGAACTGGCAGAGACCATGGTCGAATGAACAGGCTATGGAGTCCATGAGGCCGCCTGTACACAGACAATTAAAATAGCATTGAGAGATGTGATGAGGTTTAGAACGAACCAGCAAGATAGTGCCTCAGCGAAGAACACAGGAGCGTAATAGTAAAAAAAAAAAAAAAAAAAAAAAAAAAAGGGGGGGGTGAAGAGAAATTTCACTGGAACGCCCACAATTTAACCCCATTTTTAAAGCCGAAACGGAAACATATATAACGCTGTACGCTTAGAGGTGTAGTTGCCGTCAATGTATCTGACAATTTGTAAATTATTATTTAATTTTGTCGAGAAATAATGTAGGCCTTATAAACATTCAGTATTCTTTTTGGGTCGTCAGGTGGATTTTTTAAAAGATTAAACTTCTTTGTGTTGGACAAGTTTGCAAGCAACTGATCTACACCAGCCGACTCTGCAAAACAGCAAAAACTATGAGGATACTCCCAACATACGATAACACAAAAACGGAGCCCTTTATTTTCAAAGTAGGTTTCGGAGCAAACGGTTAGGTCCATGCTGTTCACTGCTATATTACACGAAATGCACACCCTGTAGGTTTCTGTCTGCCAAAAAAACAACTTAAAGGGAAAATGCATAGCATGTCGCAAAATAGGAAATAACTCACACAATTGTTTTGGAATCAAAATAAGAGTCCAGTTGATCGGTATATTGCTTCAGATGTTTCAGTGTCAGACGAAGGGCTCCTACTTTCTGTATAAAAAAGAGATTTTCAACTAACAGGGGCTGCACCAGCGTCTGTGATTCAGGGATTAGGCGCTTCGCTATCACAATGAGAAGACTCCAGTCCGATTCCCGTGTATGTGGAGTTTTCGATTTTGTTGTTTGTTTGTTTTTTGGTTGGTTGGTTTGTTTGTTGGCTGTTTGTTTTTTGGTTGTTGTTGTTGGGGGGGTTGTTGTTTTTTGTTGTTGTTGTTGTTGTTGTTGTTGTTTTGTTTTTTGTTGTTTGTTTGGGGGTTTTGTTGCTTTGTTGTTGTTGGGGGGGTTTTTTTTTGGGGGGGGGGAGTTTTATCAGCTATCCTGGACTTTCCACTAGGATGTTGTATCCCTCTCAGCCTCGGTTGAACCTAACAGACAGGCATAAACCTCGTCTCTTAAGTGGTCTAAATTAGATTAATTATATCGAAAGGGGCACTAAACACCTCTACCCAAAAAGTGGCCTCTGAGAAAACCTGTCAAGAATGCTGAGGGTTATTTTGAGTTTTCGTTAAAACAGAATGTGAACTTTATTTCTTTTACATACAATCTTATGAAATAGGAAAAGATAACTTTTTGCTCTGTTTTCCTCTAAATCAACTTTGCTAAAATACTGTGAGTAATATTTTCAAAATATTATTTTAATGACAAACCGTTGATAATTTTGTAACATAATAAATTAAACTGTTTACTTCTTCGGATAGATATATAATTCCCACGCAAACTCCTATCGCCATGCAGGCTACTTAGTGTAGTAGAGGAACGACAAAAATACTGGAAGAAAGGAAAAAATTGCAAAAGAAACAAAAAGTATTGGGATGTACATAGAATTAGGTCACTTTCAACATACTAAAAATGTACATTCACGCTTTAATGGGAAATACTATTTTTAGCTCATGACGTCATCAGGGTCAACTTTATAAAAAAATATCTTTTAGAACATAGTCATGTTGCACCTCGTTTGAAAGCTCGACAAAAATGCTGTTTGAATATGTAATATTGAAAAAGCTTGGAGGCCAAATAGGAACACAAACACACCAAATGGAATTTCACAACAGTAGATCGTGCACGTTCATCATGTTCGGTATTTCAAGAGTATCAAGCCCGTCAGGAAACTCCAAGAGACTGATATCATCTTCCTCAGTAAGTGATGGGCAATTTGTGCAGGTCAAACCCATGTAACCTCCACAGGAAATGGAGCATTCCAGT